GTGTGTGTGTGTGTGTGTGTGTGTGTGTGTGTGTGTGTGTGTGTGTGTGTGTGTGTGGTTCTCCAGCTTCATGTGTTCCTTTGTGGTTCAGGGTTGAAGACCACGATGACATCCTGCTCTTACTGGACCCACAGAACATGAAGTCCACCTCAGAAACATCAAAGTTCATCTTAGACCTCATCAAGAACCAGAACCAGAAGCAGAAGCGTCACTCTGCTGTGTGTGAGGTTTGTTTCCATGTTCTGACTCTCTGCAGCTCAGAATCAGAACCAGGACTGTGTTGTCCTCAGGTCCATGGTCTGATCAGATGTTGTCCTCCTCAGGTGGACGGAGCTGTTGTTGGGTTTGTCAGTGTTCATACAGACATTGATGTGGGAACACTTCAGAACCACTTTGACCTCAGTGAGTTTGATGATTTCTACAAAGTGGACCAACAGAACCTTCAACCTGCATCTCAGTCTTGCCCAGAAGGACCTGAGCGGAACCAGAACCAGTTTCCTTCTCAGGAGGTACAGGACCTGCAGTGGACCCTCAGATCAGAGCAGATGAGACTATGTGTTGCAGATCCAGGTGTTTGTTGTCTTCCAGGTAACTTCCAACGCTTTCTGCATCCAGCTCCTCAGAATGAAGAAGAAATATGAAACCAGGTACGGTTCCTCAAACTGAACCCAGAAACTGGTCCATCTGCACGACCAAACACCAGAACAACTGCAAGTTTGATCCTGGAGGACCAGAGAGTCCAGGTTCTTCATGCAGGCCTGTCTCTGGTTTCTGATCCTGTTTGTGGTCCTCGTAGACAAGATCTCCTAGGAGGAGGTCTGGTAGGGTCCACACCTGCAGCTGTGTTTGGAGCCAGTTTCAACAGAACTCACATGAAGACTGGACCTGAACTGAGATCAGTTCTACAATGACACGACTGGTTTACACCCAGTCTGTCCAACATGGTTCAGTTTAATTCACTATGAAGCTTTAGTCCCTGTGGTTCTGATGGTCCTGTCTCTGTGGTTCTGTTCCTGTGGTTCTGATGGTCCTGTTCCTGTGGTTCTGTTCCTGTGGTTCTATCTCTGTGGTTCTGTTGGTTCTGTCTCTGTCTCTGGATTTGTCTCTGGTTGTCTCTGTCTGTGTCTCTGTCTCTGGTTGTCTCTGTCTGTGTCTCTGTCTCTGGATCTGTCTCTTGTCTCTGGACCTGTCTCTGGTTCTGTCTCTGTCCCTGTGGTTCTGTCTCTGGTTGTCTCGTCTCTGGTTGTCTCGTCTCTGGATCTGTCTCTGTGTCTGGACCTGTCTCTGGTTGTCTCTGTCTCGGTCTCTGTCTCTGGATCTGTCTCTGTCTATGGTTCTGTCTCCGGTTGTCTCTGTCTCTGTCTCTAGATCTGGATCTGTCTCTTGTCTCTGGTTGTCTCTGTCTCATGTCTCTTGTCTCTGGACCTGTCTCTGGTTGTCTCTGTTCTGTCTCTGGTTCTGTCTCTGGTTGTCTCTGGATCTGTCTCTTGTCTCTGGTTGTCTCTGTCTCTGTCTCTGTCTCTGGACCTGGACCTGGACCTGTCTCTTGTCTCTGGTTGTCTCTGTCTCTGTCTATGTTTCTGTCTCTGTCTCTTGTCTCCTGTCTCTGGTTCTGTCTCTGGTTCTGTCTCTGGTTCTGTCTCTGGATCTGTCTCTTGTCTCTGGTTCTGTCTCTGGTTGTCTCTGGACCTGGACCTGTCTCTTGTCTCTGGTCGTCTCTGTCTCTGGACCTGGATCTGTCTCTTGTCTCTGGTTGTCTCTGTCTCTGTCTCTGGACCTGGACCTGTCTCTTGTCTCTGGTYGTCTCTGTCTCTGTCTCTGTCAGCCTGTGGAGTCTGGCTGACTCGGCCTCAGATGCTGCTGATGGTGGGCGGAGTCAGCTCCTGCTGGGCTCCTCACCTCCCAGCTGTTCCTGAACCTGGAGGCGAGGGGCTTCCTGCTGAGAGCCAGCAGGTTCCTAACGAGAGCCGGGCTCGGAGCCACAGAGACCCGAAGCTGTGGGCAGATTGTTCCAGCTCTTCTTCTTCTTCCTCATCTGCAGTTTTTGGCACAAAGTCAGATTATCATTTAACTTCTTGTGTCCTTCCAGATCAGCGGACTGTCTGCCGTATCTGTTCCAGCTCTTCCCTGTGAGTGTGGTACCATCTACAGTCCTGTAGCTCTCACACAGTCTGATAACTTTTGCCATCCAAGATGGCCGCCACAGCTACTCAGAGCAAACACAAACCTGCTGCACGACAGGCAGCTTCACAAATACTGAGCTAACACCTGCTGTGGTAGTAGCTGAGAGTCCTCCCCTCACTTACAGATGATCTGTTCTGAAGGCGGCTCATTCCTTCCAGGACTGTTTATTTACACTTTTTTTTTTCTGGGTGTGTCCAGGACCTGGTCTACTGTCTCTCCAGCTGTCCTGAGTTCCCGTTGTCACAGAACTTTGTCCAGGTTCCATCACGGTCCAGCAGCTCGCTGTCCACCAGTTTCTGTGTCCTCCACAGGTCCTGGATCAGGTGGGTCCACTGCTCAGACCACCTCTGTGGTTCATTTATTTCACGTTTAGTTTGTAGCAGCTGCTCTGAGTTTGTGTTGTTAGTCCAGCTGTGATCAATCTGTTCCACACAACAGTGCTGTCATTTACCTGCTGTAGTCTGACTCACTGATCGAAGCTGGACATCATCACTACCATCAATAACAAGAAGAAATGTTCATCTTCCTCATCATTAGGAGCTTGTACTGAACTTTGTGGGCCAGCAGAACTACGTGGTGATTAAAGCTGAACCAGACTGACTGATGATTTATTTTATAAACTCTTTATTCTTTTAAATCTTCATCTGCTCAAACAATCAGATGATAAATCTTCATCTGATCAAACAATTGGCTGATAAATCTTCATCTGCTCAAACAATCAGATGATAAATCTTCATCTGTTCAAACAATCAGATGATAAATCTTCATATGCTCAAACAATCAGATGATAAATCTTCATCCGTTCAAACAATCAGATGACAAATCTTCATATGCTCAAACAATCAGATGATAAATCTTCATCTGCTCAAACAATCAGATGATAAATCTTCATCTGCTCAAACAATCGGCTGATGAATCTTCATTTGCTCAAACAATCAGATGATAAATCTTCATCTGCTCAAACAATCAGCTGATAAATCTTCATCTGCTCAAACAATCAGCTGATAAATCTTCATCTGCTCAAACAATCAGCTGATAAATCTTTATCTGCTCAGTCAGATGATAAATCTTCATCTTAAATAATCAGATGATAAATCTTCATCTCCTCAAACAATCAGCAGATAAATCTTCATCTGCTCAAACAATCGGCTGATAAATCTTAATCTTATCAAACAATCGGCTGATAAATCTACATTTGCTCAAACAATCAGCTGATAAATCTTCATCTGCTCAAACAATCAGCTGATAAATCTTCATCTGCTCAATCAGCTGATAAATCTTCATCTGCTCAGTCAGATGATAAATCTTCATCTGCTCAAACAATTGGCTGATGAATCTTCATCTTCTCAAATAATCAGATGATAAATCTTCATCTCAAATAATCAGATGATAAATCTTCATCTGCTCAAACAATCAGCTGATAAATCTTCATCTGCTCAAACAATCGGCTGATAAATCTTCATCTGCTCAAACAATCGGCTGATAAATCTTCATCTGCTCAAACAATCAGCTGATAAATCTTTATCTGCTCAGTCAGATTATAAATCTTCATCTGCTCAAACAATCAGCTGATAAATCTTCCTCTTTATTAAATGAAGAAAGGTTCAGTTTGTTCAGCTGAAGTGAAACACCTCTGGTGTCTCATCAGCATCTGGAAATATTTTGTCTTCATGCTTCATCACCTTTAGACTGTTGATCCAATAATCCTGCTTCCTGTTTGTTCTTCATCAGTGGATAAACAGTTAGCTCAGGTTAGCTCCGGTCATCTTCATCCTGCAGGGAAATAATGCTGAGGATGATGATGTTTGTCTTCTTCATGAGTTTCTTTGTTGACCTTTCACTGGACATGCTGCTGAAGGACTCTGCTTCCAATAAAGACATTTTACACCTTCAGACCCACTGGGCCAGAACCACCAGAACCATTAGAACCAGTGGGTCAGAACCAATAAAACCAGTGAGTCAGAACCATCAAAACCAGATGGTCTGAACCATCAGAACCATTAGATCCAGTGAGTCAGAACCATCAGAACCGTTAGAACCATTGGGTCACTCAGGTTGTGGAGAGAGGTAGAGAGTTTTTCCACTGTCCTGAAGTGAAGCCCACAGAGCTGAGTCCTGGTGAATCAGTTCTCTTTGTGTCTCAATTAAATAAGGAATTCTGTCCTTCCTCCAGTCTGCTGGACACAAGCATCATCATCTTCACTGTTCTCCTCCTCATTATTCCTCCTCCTCATCATCATCATCTTCATCATCACTGTCCTCATTCTCCTCATCATTTGTCCTCATCCTCCTCATCATCACTATCCTCATCATCAATGTCCTCTTCCTCCTCATCATCACTGTCCTCATCCTCCTCATAATCACTATCCTCATCCTCCTCATCACTATCCTCATCCTCATTAATATCTTCATCCTCCTCATCCTCACTATCTTGTCCTCCTCATCCTCACTATCCTCATTCTCCTCATCATCACTATCCTCATCCTCCTCATCACTATCCTCATCCTCATTAATATCCTCATCCTCCTCATCCTCACTATCTTGTCCTCCTCATCCTCACTATCCTCATTCTCCTCGTCATCACTGTCCTCATCCTCCTTATCACTATCCTCATCATCACTATCCTCATCATCACTATCCTCATCCTCCTCATCACTATCCTCATCCTCATTAATATCCTCATCCTCCTCATCCTCACTATCTTGTCCTCCTCATCCTCACTATCCTCATTCTCTTCATCATCACTGTCCTCATCCTCCTTATCACTATCCTCATCATCACTATCCTCATCATCACTATCCTCATCATCACTATCCTCCTCCC